AGCGGCAACATCATCGTGATTCTCACGGTCTACGTAGACGACATTCTCATCACAGGAGGAGACCAGCAGCTCGTGGACCAGAAGAAGAAGGAGCTTTCGGATCGATTCGAGATGACCGACATGGGAGAGGAAAAGCGGATCCTCGGGATCGACGTGCAGCGGGACTACGAGCAAGGAGCCCTGGCCATTTCACAGGAGCACTACATGAACACACTTCTGGAGCGGTTCGGAATGCAAGAGGCCAACCCAGTGAGCACTCCTGGATACGGAGCGGAACTCTCCACAAATCAACCCCCGGACCAAATCCTAGGACCCACGGACAAGAAAATCTACCANGATCGACGTGCAGCGGGACTACGAGCAAGGAGCCCTGGCCATTTCACAGGAGCACTACATGAACACACTTCTGGAGCGGTTCGGAATGCAAGAGGCCAACCCAGTGAGCACTCCTGGATACGGAGCGGAACTCTCCACAAATCAACCCCCGGACCAAATCCTAGGACCCACGGACAAGAAAATCTACCAGTCGATGACAGGAAGCATCCTCTATCTAGTCCAGTGCACGCGATTCGAACTCTCCTACGCTGCCCTACAACTTTCCAAGGCCTGCAGCAACCCAGCGCAGGTGAACAGGACAGCAGCCAAGCACGTTCTGCGATACCTTCGGGGTAATCCAGTCCTTCCTATCGTCTACAAGAGAGGACAGTTTCGGCTAGCGGCATTTACGGATTCATCCTTTAGAGCAAACCCCGACATCGGAAGATCTACCACGGGATATCTCTTTTTTCTGGCTGGAGGACTCATCAGCTACGGTGCGAAGACTCAAACTCTAACCGCGCAAAGCACGGTCGAAGCCGAGATTCAAGCACTTAGCTACTCAGCCAGAGAGGCGGTCTACATCTCAAATTTTATGACGGAACTCAACTTCAAGACCTTCGGATCGGTTCCCATCAACAGCGACAGCACCGGAACGCTGACAGTGGCCGGTAACGCCATGCACTCTCAACGCACGAAGCACGCGGCCCTGAGGTACTTTTTCATCCGGGAGCTAGTACTGCGGAAGCAAATCACTCTTCACCACCGGCCCAGCGAGCACCAGTTGGCTGATATCGCGACCAAGTACCTCCCAAAGCACCGATTCGCCTCCATCATTCAGCAGATCAAGGACTTCTCGTGTTGATCGAAGATCTGTGAAGCT